TTGGACTATTCAAAAGTTATGTATGTAGTTTCCAAACATTTTTAGTCTGTACATAAAAATGCTTCCTCTGTAATCAGTGAGAGATGTTAGGCAATGTGTAGCATTAACATCATATATCTGGTGTCAAACTGCAATTATCCCATGCATGACACACACAAAAAAAACAGAAAGGAGAGGATTTATTTATTGCACCTGGTCCTTACAATTATTACTAATCCACTGTTTTCCACTAGGCCAGTGTTTTGTCAAACCTGTAAGTGTTTCGGTAATCTTGAAAAAGGGTTTTGTCAAACCCCGCTTATAGATATGAGCTGGAAAGGGCAGGACAGGAACATGTAAACATCCCTGGAAAACTTGCCTGATAAGCAGACTTGTATTTATCTAATTTATGAACAAAAATGTTATTCTTTCACCCCTCAGTCATTAAATCTACCTTGCTGAAAAGCTGAGCAAATTGATCCAAATTAAATAACAAACAAAACCGCTTCAACATTCTGCTCAGAATATGAATGTAACTGCGGCTGGTGTTGCTTAAGTGGAACTCAGTGTAGTGTTTAGCCATGCTTGCAGTCTAAAGAGCAGATTTCTGAATGTTGGAATCAGTTCAACAACTAACAGGAAATCCTTTATAACTGGAACTAGGAGTCACCTTAACAAATCCCAGAAACTGAAATAAAATACTGGAAGCACCGGGGGAAACATTCACTCATTGCTTGGTGTTTGGAACATTAAGAGCCATGGAATCACATTGGATGGAGACCAATAAAATATTTTTTTGCTTTACAAAGACATTTCTACTTAATATTTCTTTTGCAGCTACACAAAGTATGGTAACATGAGTTGCTAAAAGTACATAAAAGGTAAATAAACCCCCCCCCCACTAATGTTTGCAAACATGTTTGCTTTGTTACTTAAATCAAAATAACAGATATTGACTAATGCATTGGCATCTGCCAAAAGCCTTAAATTGAGCATTCATTCCAGTCTAGTACCTCAACGCTTGCGCACAAGGCTCCTCCATCATTTCTTCATAACAAACAATCCAGAGGCCTCTAATTCTTTCTAACTAGAAAAGGTTGAAAAAGTTATACAAAATAAAGATATATTATCATCTTAAAGGAATTCAAAGTAACACTGGATTCTTAAACTCTCAAAAACATCCGTTTTTTAATCTTTGCAAAAACAAGGACATTATTCCCATTTCCTCTGTAGCTGTAGTCGTTGCAGACAGACATTAATCTTAAAGGCAGCTAGATTTTTTTTCTGCACACAGAGGACGGAGCCAGTGACTAATTCTAGCCAGCATACATGAAGAGCCCTCTTAATCACAGGCAGGGCTGAAACAGGAGCTGACAGTTCAAACCAGGAGCTAAGCATTAACAAGGCGTAAGACCGGAAGTTCAGGAGACACTCCTGCCCTTCAATACTTCTTTGCTAATTAAATGCAGGCTCCAATGGCACCTCCAAGTTCACAGTAGCCAGTAAAGAAATATTTAATAAACAAGAACTACAAAAAGCAGACTAGGATCTGGCAGAGTCAAGTTATTTAGACTGGCGGCGATAGTAGGGTAGGAAGAAGCACAAACACCGTCTCCAGTCGTCCTTCGAAGCAGTCCTGTTTTTGATTTGGTTACAGGACAGGATGAACCTAACGAGGATGAAACGTTTCTGGAAGTGTCTATAAAAGATGCATGAACACAGCTCTCTAAATATTTCTAGGTACAAAAAGCTACAACACTACCTCAGGCACTATCTAAGACTCTTAAACTGTATAACTTTATAAGCAAACATGTAGGCTAAAATAAAAACGACACATACCTACTAATATTTGGATAAATATTCTTTTTGAGTACACCTTGGTCAGATATTTTTTTAAAGCCATCAACAAGTATCTGTTATTATTGTGAAAGGATCTAAGGATGCTGTTTTTGACTAAAATGGGAGTTTAACTGCTCAGTTTCTTGGCACAAACTCAGCTCATTCTAAGCATAGTAAATGAAAGGACTAAGATCCGGATTTGAGGAAGGTCCCTCCGTAAGCTCAATGCCTGATTTATTCATGTATTGATTATTTTTCCAATCAGGTAGCTGTTGCTTTAAGGTCAACTTGATCAACTGGAAGGTAGTTCATTATTATCATTATTATCTATTTCGTCTCAGCACCAGCAGTGTAGCTAGCTCAAATGGTAATTCCACCATTGGCCCCCTCTAAGTACAAAGAGATGAAATTCTTGTTTTTCTGTGGATAATAACATTGGTTCTAAGGCATTTTTTATTAAGCATCCTGACCAGTTTCCTTTCATCTCCGAGTGGCTATTTGATTCAGATACAACAGACCAGGATTTATGTGAGCGTTCCTGTAGGACAAACATTATCATCAACATACATAGAAGCTTTTCACAAGTTCTACTTCAAGCCACTTATGACAGAATACCAACTGGTTTACATAAGTTCTAATATTTCTGTAAAGAAGGATGGCAAATGTAAAATATCCATCCACTAAAGAGGCAGAAACTTATTGATATCATCAACAAACTTATGGTAAGAGTGTCATTGGCAAAGGTGCTCTTCAGAAATAGAAACAGGGGTGTATGTTTATATTTAAGGCACTACATATAATTTAGCCAATGTGTAAATGTACACATTCTACAATAGAATAATATGTTGGATGTTCTTCTAAAGAAATACACAAAAAAACATGTTGTAAGGTATTTCAATCTCAAAAAGGGAGACACAGGATACAAGCGTACTTCTGACCAATAAGGCATAATGTTTTTATCATAGAAGAACCAATTAGTGAAAAAATGTTAAAGGAAAAAAGACAGGAGTTCTACAAGATTGGAAAGACAACCTAATACTAGTGAGAGCTGGTTATGACTAAATGCAAACCAAGGAACAGACAATGAAAACAGGTATAAACATAGAAAAATGCTGCTGGAGGTTTATTTTAAACCATGAAGTTTTTCTTAAGCAAGATTTTCATTTTTAAGAGAGAGTGCAAAGATCTTTTTTTAATATATTCTGCACACTGGAGCTTTCATTGCTTCCAACACATTCCTGGCAAAACTGTGACCACCTGAGGGGTACACATTATTAGATGGTAACACATCTAGCTTGAGAGTCTACAAATTGAAGCTCACTTTCATGAACAGATCTTGGTTAGACTGGGGAAATTTGATGAGATCGTTAAAACATAACACAATCTGGCAAAACAGGGGGAAAAAGTCTTGAAGTATAGTCAAGTATTAACAAATTAGGAGAACAGGGTGGAATTTTCCATCCAAAACCCTTTCAGGTTCAGGGGCTCTGCCTGGGCCATAAACAGGTCAAGACTGAGTGGGCTAGACCCTGAGGTCTACTTTAGAAAGTGATTGTCAACCAATGGGGAGGGGGGGCTCAGTGGAAAATTACCAGTCCCGCACTCACTCACGCACAGACGCACACACACAAGATCAGAAACAGCTGAGAGACTGAGCTGTAGCTACATATCTATCTCACTCTATGGTTGCCTTTTATAATAGTCGCAGGTGCGGGATGGGCATGGCTGCGTTGTCAGGACACAGCAGCCCGCAAACTGCGCACTTGATGATATGTGATGATGTGTGTATTCACATCCATGCACATTTCCAAGAAAAATACCCCTGTGAGATATCTTGCAGACCAAAGAGATGGGTTGGAGGCATGCATGTGTCTCTCTGTAGATGTGTTTGCACGAATTCAACATCGGCTATTTTGCTATTTGGCATTTGCAAGAAAACCTACTTTTTGTCCGCATTTATATTACAAATGTAAATTTTACTTAATCTATCAATTCTTTTACATAAAGTAAATACTTTTAATACCTTGTTAAAAAAGTTTTTTTCATGCAATCTCAAACAATTATACATTATTATACATATTATTATGTCTGACACAGAAGAGTTTTGTGTTTAGTCTCCCAGAGTTAATAGTTTGTAGATCCACTTTTAACTGTAGTGCAGCTAAAAGTAATTTGGGCTATACCCTTTTTGCAGATTTAGAAGCATATGCTTTCCTATTCTTCTTTGCCAAAAAAAAATCCAAAGGCTAAAACGTATTGATATTAGATTCAAGTCATACATTAAGTGTTTAAGGACTTGCCACCGACTTGTAACTGTTTTGAAACTTAAAAATTAACAAGTTTTGATCTAAACTGCTCCTTAATAGGCTTGCCTGTATATTTAAGGTTATTTACTTGGTTAAAAGCCTCTAACAAGCCTTCTTCTTCAGTGTGTCTGATAAAGAAATGCATCCCACAGCATTATTCTGCCACCACCATGGAGCAACATGCAGATGTGTTCTACTGTGATAAGTAGTTTAAATTTTTCTGTCACAAAGCATTTCACTTCTTTATTACTGCTAGAGATTGAAGACTTAAATGGGATAAGTTATGTTTCCTTCTACATAGGCTTCCTTCATAACTCTTTCCCTTCAAAGCCAGATTTGTGAACGTAACTAAGAGCAGATTCTCACACCAGAGCTGTTGATAATCCCTGGCCTGCCAGTTTTTGACATATTCTTTCAATTTTAGGATTAGGGGCTGAGCAATAGTATATGAAATGTTTGGCATATTGTTAAATAACCTAATCCTGTTTTTGTTGGTTCACAGACCTATCCCTGATCTGTCTGCTTTCTTCTTTTAACTGTTCTTCATGATGCATTTGTTCATTAATATCAGCAGCCTTCACAGATCAGTTGTATTTATATTAATTTACATTATTATGTTTTGAGGTAGTCAAGTGACGGGATTAAATAACAATAAAAAGTTTTTTTTTTTTCTATTTCAAAAAGGGTTTATTGTTTAAAATCAAAATAAAATGCACTGAAAAATTAGGTTGTATCAGCATTTGAAAAAGATTTTTAAAGAACACTTTAGCAAGGGACTGTATTTATGGTCATTTTATCCACCTTCTGAGTATAACATAACAATCAGATCTGAATCATCGTTGATGAATTTGGTGCAAAACAAAGCCGATATTTTACCTGGGTACCAAGGCAGCCCACCAACATGTGAGTTAGTAGTTTGGCAGCAAACATGGGAGAACGGGAGCACAACACATGGGATATGATGGCCAATGCAAACCCTGAAAAAATGGAAAATACTGTAAAGGCATACATGTTACATTTATAACTCATAAGACAAACAAATAACAAATTAAATGGAAATGATATCAAACAAGAAAAAACATTGATAGCTGATTTATACCTGAGATGCAAATAAATCCTGATGCAAAGAAGGCCTCGTTGTAGGATGCAAGTGCAGAAAACTCTGCATGCGCTGCGTAGATAGACAAGTGGGAGCATGCACATTCCACATAACTGCCACTTTCTTTCACAACCCTGCAGTACTGTCCATCAGATGACCAGCTGGAAGGAAAAAAGAATAAAAGATATGAAACAAAGTAGGTTAATATAAAATATTTCTTTATTTGATGTTTTAAGATTTTTTTTAGGTTTTATTTAAAAAAAGGATTCAATAATGTGAGTTGCACTTGGAGATAATGATGTCTCATATAAAGAAAAATCCTGAATAACTAGAAAAAGTCATGGAGATTATGAAGATCTAAAAAAAAAACATTTTTTTTTTTATAGTTTAATCTGATCTTTGTTAGATTAACTGAAGCAGTTAACCAACCAGAACGGTTATTTCCTCTCGACCTTTTACTCTCTAACTCGCACGTGCGGATTTCTGTTTTCCCCCTTTTGTTTTATCATCTAAACAGCTTCACGGGCCAAACCAGATCTGCCAATTTTTAACTTGCAACAGTGTGTTCCAGCCAAGACCTTTCATACCACTCCCTAGAACTGTCCTCCAGAAAGTCATTTCAAAAGTGAGGACACAAAGTGCTGCAGCTGAAATGTTCAGATATGAAAACAAGAAATAGATGAAAACAGCCTTTAAGAAGCCCTAATAAGGGCCTCTAGTTGGCCCTTTTGAAAGGAAAGAAAGATTCAAGTGCGGGGAGTATGGAGGAAAAATATGAGACATCACTTTAGAATTATATCTAGAGCGTCAAAAGGAAATGCAAAGTCAGTTTTATTGACATTTAAGTCCAACGGAACCACAATATCCTTACTTATTTAAAGGAAAAATATTAGATAATATTGTTTATTTTCTCTTCTTAAGAATTTTTTATGAAGTTTATCTCAACATGATTCATGATTTGAAACTTTGGGGCTCTGACAATGGGTAAATATTTCAGAGCTGTTTATATTTACTAAGCAAAAATAGAGCATGTTACACAACCAGCTCCACTTAAAATAATCCAACTTTCCCCCTGTTTACTTTCTTTGGTCCTTGCCCATTTTTTGTTTGAAAAATATAATCAGCAGTTCCATACATGGACATTCTCAGACTATTTCCATATTGTAATCTTAAACATTTATGTATTTTATCAGGCCTTTAATCAACAGATCACATAGAAGTATATTATCATGTAGTGGCAGTAAAATGAGACATTGCAAAGTTGTATTGAGCCACCTTTACTCTAAAGATCAAAAAGACATTAGATACCTTTTTTTTTTAAAGTCAGCGGAGGATAAGAGGATCCGTGGATCTCGCTTCTTTACTTGGTGACCAGCGGGAGTGCACAGCAACTAGCAGACCTTATCAATGTAGCCAAGAAGTGGATAAATAAGGCAGATCCATCTTAGCACTGTTGCTAGTATACTTCTGCATTTTTAAACATCAAACCGGCAGATTTTACCCAAAATGCTTTGATGAACCCAAATGGCTCTATAAGATCAGGTATGATAGCATATTTTCTAATCCATGAAAAAATTAACACTATTACACTCCCAACTTTATGGTGGTTTAACAGTAAAATGTTGCTATTAAATGAAATATTAAATATATTTTGTTTTATAGCTGTGGATTTTTTGTATAGTATGCTTAGTCAAGTTTGTTGTGTTGCAACCACTGACAGCGGGACTCTCTGCCATAGTCTTCACGGAAGCTCTTAGCTCAACGTACAGTCAGCCATGAAAGTTTGAACCATGAAAAGATTTTCTTGGGGCCAACTTTTCAATTCCAAGACAAAGTGCAGATTTACGTCAATGGATGATGCTCACTGATCTGTTTTCTGTTTCAGATTCTCCTCTCTGGCAGGATACTATGGTTCATCAGGACCAAAACATCTGGCCTCAAAAACAGCTTCTACCCATCTGCCACTAGCCTCGTAAACAAGACCGTGTCCTCCACTGATACCTTTCCCATAAGTGAAACAAATAAACAAAAAACATCGCAGCACATCTGTATATGAACTTATACTCATCTTTGGGACCGGGTCCTGACTAGGTGCAACATGACAAGACAAAATTATATGAAATTTTAAACTGCTGTTGTGGTTTAATAACCGCCATGGTACGTTTAGCTACTACAAGTTATTTGTTCCCCTATTTATGTATTCCATCTCTATGTTTACTTGTCTATGTGTTGTTCTTTACTCACCAAAACAAATTCCTTGTCTGTGTAAAACGCTATCTCCCAAAAAAGCACTTTTTCATTCTAATTGTTAAAATGTTCCAAATGCCCATACTGGCTCTATCCGTCCTTACGGCTGTGTTGAGATGACAGCAGGCTAAAGCAAAGGTAAACATATAATGTAAATATATTACACTGATTAAGGTTGAAATATTCAAAAAGTAATTTATGAGCTAATTTTGTCATTCACTGAAAAATTTGAGCTAGTGATTAACCTGGAACCCATGCAGCGTGTGGTAATAATTGGCCCGATATAAATGGCTAAACCAGTAAGTATTCAGTCTGTTGGTTCCTTGTTTTTACTATATTCATGTTATTTATTTAAATTTTAACCATGATCAGCATTATGTTGATTATTTTAAGATCTGCTGACTAATTACTCAATTATGATTCAACTTAAGTGCAAATAATTATTTTCTATTTTGTTTTTTTTTAAACAGTATTTTAAGAATGGCTTGTATTTTAAGGATATCTTGTGTTCTAGTATCGTCAATAAGATATGAAAATAAAAAGTAAATAAATTCTTGCCCTGAGAATACCTACCACCAAGCTTAAGATGTTTTCTAGTTAAGGTTTTATTTGTATGTATTTATCAGCAGGAAACTGTTCTCAGATGCTTTTGAAGAAAAGGTTTTAAGATTTGATATTTAGAGGTAGGCTATGTAAAATGACAAGAACCCCAATTATATGGCCAAAGGATTGAGTTAGATGAAAGAATAACTTTTTTTTAACATGGCCTGGTTAAATTTCAGAGCTAAATCAAACTAAAAATCTTTTGTCATACTTAAAAAAAAATTGTTTTTATTTTTCATTTGTTTTTATCGCATTCAGTAGCTAATCTGGCTTAGGTTATATTTTTTTCAAAATTAAAACATTTTAGTGTACAACTGCCTGTGGTTAAAGATATACGCCAAAAGATATGTAGTTGGAGAAGCTGGGAAAGGCGTTCTGAAAATAATTTGATCGAACAAAAATATACACAACCATTTTGAATTTTCATTTTTATAAAAAAAACAACTGAATTTTGAAATTGGAAATGTTTAAGGGATATGAATATTTTTACCAGAATCTGTATCATTTAGGGTGTTTTAATTTTATATAATTATTATTATAAGCTGGCGTATTGAAAAGGTTTCAAATACAGAAAGTTCTCTGCAGAGGGAACCATAAAGAGCTTGGCATTTAAACCTCCCAGCTGTTATTTGTCCTCCAGTTGGCCAAATTTGCTTTTGTACCGTAGCTTAAAAAAATATTTTATCTCGTAGTAATAGCATAAAGTATTTTTAGGGAAAAGTGTAATCCATGCAACTACATTAACAGAAACACATGAGATTGGTTAGTGTTAGAGTGTTTATAGTGCATTACCTTGCAGTGGTTTGATTCCAGAGAAGGCACACAGATGCTCCTGGTTTAATTTGCTGACCAGGAGAGTTAATACGGTATGTCACCTCAATGCCATCTTCTAGGGGTCGTGACCCTCTCTCCTGGAGACTTACTGAGAATACCTACAAGCAGAAGCAGTATCAGCATAGATTTTAGCTTCAATGACAAATAAAAATAAACAGGGTTTATTTAATGGGACAATGCTGCCATCTGCTGTTTGAAAAAGATTTTAAATTGGGTAAAATTAACTGCTATCATCTGCATTATGGCCTTCAAATAATTGAAACGACTTAGAATTACGTTTCCTACCTTCCCATTTACAGCTGTGACTGTATCATTGGTGAGAAGCCATTGCTCAGTTTTGAACTCAGTCAGCTGAATCCTGCTGAGGTTCCTGCAGTCTGCTGATGTGGCTGCTGGCACTGGCAGCAGCGCGTCTGGAAGCTGGAAGAAGTCGCCATTATGGCCTCTGTATTTGTGTCCATTAATTTGTGTTGGGTACCACTGGAGGGCAGATATCGTCATAAAAGGGCATGTTTCCATGATGATACCCATTCTGAGGAAAAAAGAAAAATTTGCAACACCGAGCTTTTTGATGGATATGCAAAAGAGATGTGTTTACACTTACATTTCACACTGCAAATGAGAAATAAGGGAGAACGCAAATCGCTCTGCCACCTCTGCAAGGTAGCTGAGACCTCGAGTGTCAACTCGGCTTGGGTTGGCCAGAACGCATAACAGGTCATAGGTCAGATTTCGGCTGCTTGAATGTAGAGGATTCTGCTCTGCTTCTATCAGTACCTGAATCAAGAAAAATAACAGCTGGAAGGAGAACTCAGTAGACAAAATTCTGAATGAAATTCTTCTCCAAAAACATGCTCATTAAATTGCTACAAGGTTTGCTCCTCTGCAGCAGTGAAACCTTGACATTCATTGAGATTCAAAATTCTTTAAAATTCAAATTTAAGCATTAAGTAGTTTTTACTACCATCCATCCATCCATCCATCCATCCATCCATCCATCCATCCATCCATCCATCCTCTCTTACCTTCCCAATAGTTTCAAGCACAGCAGTCATCTGTTCACGATTGAGAGTAGAAGCGAGTTTGGTCTTTAGTCCTTGAAGAACCTGATTGATTACTGTTGGGTTGAGGGGCTGATGTAATTGTTCTAACAGGCCCCACACAGACTGGCTAGCTGCATTTGACACCAGAGTCACATTAGCCTGTCCAAATCGAGAGTGAACACTGGCTCCTCCTGTAGGACTGTACAGAGCCACCTGGAAGCGCTTTGGTGTTGGTGAAGATGAGGCGAGGTCAGGCGTCAAGTAAACATCTAGTGTTGTGACGTGGCTCCCAGCTTCAAAGGTGACTTGGCCCTCCTGTTTAGGAAAGTCCATCCCTTCTTTAGCCGGCCAGATGATATACGGACCAACCATCTCTTCTTTGGACAGCTCCTGAAGAAGGACGGTGCATGTTTTAGGTTCAAAGGGGCAACATGATAAAAAGTCACTGGCTCGACACCAGACCTTTTCTAACCATGGTTTTCTTGTGAGTTCAGCACACATTGTTGTCTACCTACTATCTGCTTTGCTTGTTACTGAGACATATTTAACACAGTGTGTACTTGTTTCATAAAAGAACTTCTAGCTTCTATTGTCTACCCCAGTTCTATTAGAGATGAAAGCACATCACATTTGTCTGATAGCTATTTCTTTTTTGATTTTTTTGGAGTGCACTAGAAACTGACTTTAATCTCCAATATCAAAAGTAGTCACCAGATTGTCCATTCCCTTGATCTGGGTGTAGACATAACAAAACATCACATCTCAGATAACATCCCAATGGGAATGGAAAGAGAATGGAGAAAACCTTTTCATAATTTTTTGATTAACAAACCTTGACTTTTATAAGTCAGCCTTATGAGTGCATAACAGAAAGAGAAAAATTAAAAGATCCTATCAGACATAGAAAATGTTTAAAACACTCTTGTTCTGATACATGGTGTATCCTTCTCGCTATAGTGTGTGTGTAATAATCCGTAGTGTTTAATCTAACCTTTTTCAACAGTCATGTTCATATATATTTGGCTCACAAGGGTAAAAAAACTAAAATCTAAAGATTAGGGATGCACGATATAATCGGCCCCCTATCGGTATCGGCCTTAAAACTGAATATCGGATATATTTGATCAGCTTCTGAGTTTCTAAAGTCTACTACTACTTCTTCTTCCTCAAAAACTTCTTTTTTACAGACTTAAAAACTTCTAAAGATGAGGGAAAAAATATTGATACATTAAAATATTACAATATCTTCATATGCTGATATATTCCCATTTAAAAACACCATACCAATCTCTTTTATTAATGAAATATTGCTATATGTCATCGTTATGCTACGAAATCCCCCGAAAATCCACGGAATTTTGCCATATTTTTATATGTTGATATATTGACGCGGTATCGATCTATTTTACTAACAAAATCTAACAAAAATTTGCAAAATATCACGAGAGTTTGTAACAGAACGATGAAATTTCAGCGATGAAAGTAAAATAAATTGATACCGCGTTTTTAAAAATCAATTTGATATCAGCATATGAAAATATATTTGAGTATATTATTTTTCAAAGTGTCAGAAATGGATAACAAAACTGCTATTTTCAATGACTACTTATTTTTGTCCAGCTTTAACATCGGTATCGATATCGGTTATCGGCTACATGAGTTTTAAAATATCTGCATATCGGATATCGGCCAAAATCCCAATATCGTGCATCCCTACTAAAGATACCTTTTCTTTACTTAGGACTAAGCAATGGTTTACAAAAAAAAATGAAATAAAAGAGACTGTTTAAAAAAGGCTTTTCTAAAATATGTTTGAATAAAAAACTTTTTGATCTATCTCTTAAATTTCCTCTGCTTTTTATGCCAATCTGTTTAATTCACACGTTAATCAGTTCTTCTCTCCTTCATCGTCCAGCAAGATTTCTTAGTGCAGCACTTTGTGACACTTTTGACATTGTGTCTTATTTATATTTTTCTTTGTGACATAAACTTATTTTTGTACTTACTTACAACTCATTTCTTACGATAAGCTAATCAGGTTTCATTGTTATGTACCTTCCCTATATCAGCACTGAAGCTCTGACTTCTTTCCCTTAACAGCTGGACACTTCCGTTGCCATGCCTCTTATTTCCTGTCATTTTACCTCAGTGTTCTGATGTTCCCCTGCCAATGTGTATGTATTATTACTTAAAATGTCCTCACCTTTTCACCTCTGTTTTTTTTCTGCATTTGGATCCAGTTAAAAACCTAACACAACCCTTTGACGACCCACCCATGAGCCAATAGAAGGCTAGCTTTAAACCTTCTGTTTTGGCTAAGTTTAATTTATGTACCAAACATTGGAAACCTTCCTTCTAAATAAATAAGAGTCAGTCGTCTGTTTTAAGAATTAATCAATCACTTATCATAAAGGTTTTCTGTAGGTTGAGGTGTGTGATGCGGATGCAGTATACTTGTTATACTAAAGATAGTTGCTTCTGCTTTGTGTGACTGCAGCAATGAAAACATAATTCATTTTTAGGGTAAAAACCTTCTTCATTGTGGTTCATTCAGGAGAAAAACTGCCTTCCTGTTCATTCCAGACAGTTATGTTAGTTATTCAAATAGCAGATCTAGCTCAACACATTATATGCTTAATATAACAGACAGTCAAGCTAACAAAATGTATCATAAAGGAATGGTTTTAGACATATAAGGTTTCCATCCCAAAGCAAATATTTTCTGATCTACTAATAATTATGCATTAAACACAGGTCAATAAAATCTTCATTGTTTAAAAAAAGCAAAGAACAAAAACAAAATTCTTTCTTCAATTTGCCCCTTGGTTACTGTGGCTCAGGGGTCAAAGTAGATTTAAATTCACAGGGTTTGATATAAAAAAAAAAATAAAGTGAAAACCTACATAATTGCCTTGTAATGCCATGGAAATCCACACCTAAATTGAATAAATATGCTAACTAAAATGTCAAAATATTTAAAGGATTAGAGAAAATTTTTCGATGATAATGCAAGGAAACATTTACATCATATTTAAATAGATACGAGAACTATGAGAAAGAAATATTCAAAGATTTATGTAATTTTTCTCCTGGCTCTTTAACCAAAAATTCACAGAGTGCAATGAAATATTTTCTCTGGACATAATTTCCTTTGGTAGAAATTAAAGTAGGTTTTGCACCACCTTTTGTGAGCTGGAAGAAATAAAATCTTGATAGTTAGAAATAAGGATTTTTTACGGTTGGCAGAGTTTGAGCAGCCACATATATATTTTCTTATATAGCGAGAGCAGGGAAAGCCATACTGCTGAGAGCGAACCAACCATGTGGAGTATAAAGCTGAGCTACGCGCGTGCAAAGGCGCATTTCTGCACAAGTACAATACCGTTCGAAAGTTTGGTGTCACCAAAACAATTTTGTGTTTTCCTGAAAAGTCACACTTATTCACCACCATACGTTGTGAAATGAATAGAAAATAGAGTCAAGAAATTGACAAGGTAAGAAATAATGATTTGTATTTGAAATAAGATATTTTTTTTTTTTACATCAAACTTTGCTTTGGTCAAAGAATCCTCCATTTGCAGCAATTACAGCATTGCAGACCTTTGGCATTCTAGCTGTTAATTTGTTGAGGTAATCTGGAGAAATTGCACCCCACACTTCCAGAAGCAGCTCCCACAAGTTGGATTGGTTGGATGGGCACTTCTTGCGTACCATACGGTTAAGCTGCTCCCACAACAGCTCTATGGGGTTCAGATCTGGTGACTGCGCTGGCCACTCCATTACCAATAGAATACCAGCTGCTTGTTTCTACTCTAAATAATTCTTGCACAATTTGGAGGTGTGTTTACGGTCATTGTCCTTTTGTAGGATGAAATTGGCTCCAATCAAGCGCTGTCCACTGGGTATGGCATGGCATTGCAAAATGGAGTGATAGCCTTCCTTATTCAGAATCCCTTTTACCCTGTACAAATCTCCCACCTTACCAGCAACCCCAGACGATTACATTACCTCTACATCGCTTAATAGATGTCGTCAGGCGTTCTTCCAGCATCTTTTCTTTGCTCTGCGTCTCAAAGTCTCACATTAAAAAATCAGTATTGTTTTATGTTAAACCTCTCCAGTAGAGCATTTGACTGCAGTTTAAGAGGTCTCAGGTCAACTCCAGCGTGTATAAAGTACTACAGCTTCTCAAAAGCTAGTTTGCTTTCTACTGGTGTCATTAACGCATTTTAATGATATCTGGTTTTGTCAGATAAAAATTCAGTATCGTCTTGATGGTTTTATGTTAAACCTCAGTGGTAGACAATTTAACTGCAGATAAAGAGGTCTCGGGTCAACTCCAGGTGCCCCCTTGTTACTGTCTAGAGTATTGGAGCGTCGATAAAGTACTACAGCTTCTCAAAAGCAAGTTTTTTCTTTGTACTGTACTGCTCTGATTAACGCAAAGTAATGAAATCCCGTTTTGTCGGATAAAATTTCAGTGTTGTCTTAACGGTTTTATGTTAAACCTCAGCGGTAGACAATTTAACTGCAGATAAAGAGGTCTGGGGTCAACTCCAGGTGCCCCCTTGTTGCTGTCTAGAGCACTTGAGCATCAATAAAGCACTACAGCTTCTCAAAAGGAAGTTTTTCTTTGTACTGGTGTAGTTAACGCAAAGTCGTGACATCTGGTTTTGTCAAATAAAAATCAACATTGTCTCAACGGTTTTACATTAAACCCAATGACGGCAAGAATTTTTTTTTTCGAAATCATGCAAACTTAGCCCATATTCACTCTGTAAATCTGGAAATATCGTGAAAAACAGGGGGGTATAGCTCAGTGGTAGAGCATTTGACTGCAGATCAAGAGGTCTCTGGTTCAACTCCAGATGCCCCCTCTTTTTGTCTAGAGGCTTTAAGAGTGTATAAAGTACTAATGTTTCTCAAAAGCAAGTTGCTTTCTACTGGTCTCATCATTGTAATGGTATCTGGTTTTGTCAGATAAAAAAATAAGTATTGTCTTTTTCGGTTTTATGTTAAAACTCACCGGTAGAGCATTTGACTGCAGATCAAGAGGTCTCTGGTTCAACTCCAGATGCCCCCTCTTTCTTGTGTAGAGGCTTTAAGAATGTATAAAGTACTAATGTTTCTCAAAAGAAAGTTGCTTTCTACTGGTCTCATCATTGTAATGGTATCTGGTTTTGTCAGATAAAAAAATCAGTGTTGTCTTTTTCGGTTTTATCTTAAAACTCATCGGTAGAGCATTTGACTGCAGATAAACAGGTCTCGGGTCAACTCCAGGTGCCCCCTTGTTCCTGTCTAGAGCATTTCAGCGTCGATAAAGCACTACAGCTTCTCAAAAGGAAGTTTTTCTTTTTACTGGTGTAGTTAACGCAAAGTTGTGAC